CTATCTATCTGTCTCTTGACTGGAATAGTGGTTACATTGTGTACACATTAGTCAAAATCTATTGAACTGTACAATTAAAATGAGTGGATTTTATTGTATGTAAATCATTTGAAGGCAGGAGGAGAAGGGGATAACAGAGAATGAGATGGTTGGATTGCATCACCAACTTGATGGACATGAGTTTGAGCAAGCTCCAGGAGTTGGTGATGGACAGGGAAGCCTGGCCTGCTGTGGTGCCTGGGGTCACAAAGAGTCGGACATGACTGAGCAACTGAACTGAACTTAAATCAAATTTCAAAAAATTTGACTAAAAATAAAAAATAAATCCTCGTTACTTTTATATTTAGTTTTCAGACAATGGGATCTTAACATCCAAGATGATGTGTTGCATGAAACAAGCTAGGCCATCCTAAAGCCTAAGCTCTAGCCAACTGCTGGATCATAGCCTTTCTTTCAAAGACCCCAGGTCTAGAAGTCAACTATTTGGAATGTCTCTGTTCGCAAAATCCTATCCTAATTGTTAGGAGAGGGTGATGAGGACTTGGCTAACAAAGAAGTCCCACGAAAAGCTATTGTATTCCCAGAGCTTAGAAGAGTGTCTCTTGATTGAATAAATAAGACAAAGGTAAAAGAATAAAGGCATACCTCATTTTATTGTGCTTTGCTTTACTGCGCGTCACAGAAACTGCTTTTTTTTTTTTTTTTTTACAAAGTGAAGGTTTGTGGAACTTTGCATTGAGCAAGTCTGTTGGCACCATTTTTCCAATAGTATTATTTTTAAATTAATTTACTTACATTTTTAAAAAACATAATGCAATTGCATGCAATATAATACAGAATAGTGTGAACATAACTATTATATGCACTGGGAAACCAAAAAATGTGTGTGCTTTGCTTTATTGTGATATTCACTTTTTTGTGCTGATCTTCAAGTTAACCTGCAGTTTCTCTGAGGGATGCTTGTATTCCCAGAGACCCCTGATTTCTAGGGCAGTACATATGCAAGGACTGAGAGTCAGGGGTGGAGAGAAGGAAGAAAAACAGTGACCCTGAAGACAGATCACCAGGCCAGCAAGTGCCTCATACTGGCTCTTAGAGCAAGCACAGGTTATGAAGTGCAAAATACAAGCATTAGCAAATCTGGGCAGTATCCTTCCTCACTGACCTCACTGGGCCAGGTAAAAATAGCCATCCTCACTGTAGCAGATTGTGTGTCTGTGTGTGTGTGTGCACGCGTGCACACACGCACGTGAAGTCACGTCTAACTCTTTGTGACTCCATGGACTGTAGCCTTCCAGGCTCCTCTGTCCATGGAATTTTCCAGGCAAGATTACTGGAGCATAGCAGATTCCCTAGTGAGGGAAATTTTATTTCCTGGGTACCTGTAACTCCCAACAAAATGCAGCTCCAGCCAGAGACAACCTACAAAGTACAACTTGCATTTCACTGTTACTCCTTGCAGAAAATCTGGCCTCTCAGGACACTCACAGGTGGGACTGTTTTCTCTGGACCCGTGTTGTTTCTTGCTTCCCACCACAGAGGTGTATGCACATCTGAAATCAACTAACCAGCATGGGCTCCTTTTCAATGACAGCCAACAAAGACAGCCTATACATGACTTAACTCACACAGCTCTTGTTATTTCACATTCCCCCTTGGTTCATATGTGACCCATGTGTTGATGAAATAGTAATGACACATACTGTGTCACACATGCCCATACACTCATTGTATTAATAGGATTCAAGCTAGAAGTCATGCTTGGGGGGAAGCTCTAGAGGAGTATGTAGAATAGGATCTGATGGCACTCCACCCCCCCACCCCCGCCCCCCTTAGTAAATACCTTGGCTCCCTGGATGAACATGTGATTAGAAATAGCTAAATGTCCTGCTAAGTAAACCAACATGTCAAAGGAAAATTGTTAGGACAACTAGGCAGCAGATGCTGGAAAGGAGTGATGGAGAGGCTTTCTGTGGGGGTGTAAGACCGCCTCAGAGAAATCAGTGATGTTTTGAGGAGGGTAGGACATGGAACATTTGGGTTTCCCCCAAATGCTCAGGAGGCAGTGACTTAACTGGTGGACAATTACCTGGAAAGGTATCAAACTCTAAACTGAATGTATTTGATAGTCTGCTAGTTGCATTCCAACAGGTAAAAGCATTAGCAGGGCAACTTCTTGGATCCTCCAAATCCAAGAAGTTAGTTGGAAGTTAGTTAGACTCTTGAACTAACCAGGTAAGGGACAATCATTTGGGGGGTATTTCCCCACATTTCCTGAGACGGCGGTGTATATCACCACTCCTTCTCATCTGACTTGAAGAAGCAATGTGATGGAATGGCAAATGACCATAAGACCTGCTTTCTGCTCTGGGCTCTACTAAGCAGGGGCCCCATAACCTTAGGTATTTCACTTACCTTTGCAGAGCCTCACAAGTAGTTAGACCACTTGGTATTTCCTTAGTTCCTCTGGGTCTTTCCATGTTGTTTTTGTTCATCTTCCAGAATGTTCTTTAGCTTGCCCTCTAGTAGCAGCCATTTACTTGGCCTCCCAGTTGAAGGTCAATGCTGCTTTTTGACCTGCCCTTGGAGTGAATGCTGCTGTTCCCAAATGACATTTGATCAAGTTTATTGAACAAACGAGTGAATAATCACATGCATAAACAAATTCCTGACTCCTTCCTGCATATAATTAGCTCTCTTGGTGGACTATTACTTCCATCAAAAAGGGATATTAAAATTAACTTAAAATGTGCTAGTTAATTGCTCCTTATGCAGGATCTTCTATGTGTCAGGCATCAAAATAGGTACATGCTTATAGTGATCAAAGACAGATGACAAGATCTGGCCCAAAAGAAACTTAAACTATTTCTTGGACCTTGTCTGTGACTCCACAACAACAGTTGGTGAGTATATCAATCAGGAGAGAGAAAACACACAGTGATTTAAATCGGGAAAGTTTAACATAAAGAATTATCGAGTTATAATAAAACAATAACTCTAAGATATAAGAGAGGGCTTCCCTGGTGACTCAGTCAGTAAAGAACCCACCTGCCAATGCAGGAGACCAGGGTTTGATCCCTGGGTAGGGAAGATCCCATGGAGAAGGAAATGGCAACCCACTCCAATATTTTGGCCTGGGAAATCCCATGAACAGAGGAGCCTGGCAGGCTACAGTCCATGGTGTAGCCAAAAGTCAGACACGACTTCATGACTAAACCACCACCAAAACATCGGAGAATTTTATAGGGTACCATAGGTTTGAGGATTTAGAAAAGGCAGGGGAACCAGAGATCAAATTGCCAACATCTGCTGGATCATAGAAAAAGCAAGAGAATTCCAGAAAAAATATCTACTTCTGCTTCATTGACTACACTAAAGTCTTTGATTGTGTGGATCACAATAAACTGGAAAATTCTTCAAGAGATGGGAATACTAGACCACCTGACCTGCCTCTTGAGAAATCTGTATTCAGGTCAACAAACAACAGTTAGAACTGGATATGGAACAACAGATTGCTTCCAAGTTGGGAAAGGAGTATGTTGACTGTATATTGTCACCTTGTTTATTTAACTTATATGCAGAGTACATCATGTGAAGTGCCACGCTGGATGAAGCACAAGCTGGGATCAAGACTGCAGGGAGAAATATCAATAACNGGAGGCTTGGGACACGCAGTGTCAGGAGGGCAAACCTAAGGGGCAGGGGGCCTTGGTGAGTCATTGCCAGCCCACAGGTGAGGCGCAGAGGAGGCAGAGGTGAGGCTGTGGGCCAGAAGCTCAGGGAGGCAGCATTTTGTTGGTAGAGCCACAGGACAGCGCTCACCAGGCTAGGCCAGGGCTGCAGGGCTGTGATCTGCAGCCCTGGCTGGGGCAGAGCACAGACCTCCAGAGCTCCTCACACCCATACTGGTGAGCAGTGGGTCAGCTGGTGGAACCTGCAGCAGCCTTTTCTTCCCAGCCAGTCCCTCTAGTGCCCTCCACTGAGAAAGCCGAACACAGTGCTCACAGGAGAGGAGAACTTAGAGGGAGTCCAACCATTATTGCTGAGCAGGTACTGAAGGGGACATTTTGTGGTGAGAGGCAAACGTCGGCATCCAAAGAACCCCAAACAGGTGTCAGAATTCTGAGCACAACTTGTGTAATCTTGGACTAGTGACTTAGGTGTCTCAACTGCAGTTTATTCATCTATAAAATGGAAAACTACTCGTCCAACTGACTAAATAAGAATACTGTGAGGATCAAATAAGATGAGAGGTATGAAGGACTTTGTCCACTGTAAAGTGCTGCGCATTTCCACTGGGCATGGCTGTCAACTGTATTCAGTATTTCATGTGATGTCCCACCAAGGGGCGATATTCCCCTGGGATCAAGGCCAAAGAGATGAGACCCTGTCTTGTTTCCTTTGAACTGGCACAAAGTAAGGAGTTACCAGAACTATACCGTTTTTCTTACTGACAATCACATGAAGTGAGGAGCCGAAGCTGAAGGTAAAGCTGTGTCTGACCAAGCAAGGAACAACCTCAGCTCCTCAGGGTGGCCCCCACTGATATTTCCCCATCTTTCTTCCTATTGTCAGAAAGCTGCTGGAACAGCCAGTAGGGAGAACCTCTTTGCCCCTTCCCTGATCAGCCTCTTCCTGGGGTCCTGGAGCAATGCCTTTATGGTAGTATCAGCTCAAGGAGCTTCTAGAAAGACCTCACTTGCTGGCCTATTAAATAGATGGTGGATAACTAAATACATGAAAGAATGAATAAATAGGCAGAGTTGCCCAGCTAAGGTCTTGTCAGAATCCACTTTGAATATGATAACCATAGGGCCACCAAAAGCCATTTTTCTTTAAATATAAGATCTTTAAATGCACATATGCACACATGCACCCAAGCCACTGCACATTCCTTTCTCCATTACTTCCTTAAAAACATAAATAAATGACGAAATTAGGCATATATGCATAGCAACTGCTAATTTACTCATTTATTTATTACACTTTTGCAGCAGAAACCTCATAGCAGCACAGACCAGAGCTCCGTCTGGACACCATGGGCACTGCTGTCTGAGGTCTGGAGAGTCTCTCTCCACATAAAGGGTCCGCTCCTGGTGGTCTGTGGCCCCCACCCCCGATCCTAAGACTGCTGCGGATTCACGTGGGGAGGAAGCTGGGAACAAGCTGGGAACAGCTGGAGGGGACGAAAACTGAGGACATGCTGACTGGTCTGGGAGACAACTTCCTGCCATCTGCCTCTCCTCCCCCACAATGGCAGTCCTGAAGAGGCAGAAAAAGCAAGCAAGTTTAATTATTCTGAGACATATCCTGGGACATTTCAGAGTCCCCTGCAAAGGAACTGAAATGTTGCATGCTCTTTAACACTAAACGTCACTAATTAGAAATTGTTGTTGTTGGTCTGCCTGTAAGACATTTTGTGGATGATGTTCAGCCCAGCCAGCACTTTCATAAATGTGAGTACATCAATGGTTAATTGTTCGAGGTAGAAACAACATGGTGTTGCAAAATCGGTTTGCTTTGCTTTTGACACACACTGGTATGGGTTAAATACTTCAGGGTAAAACTAATACATGGAATAAGTCTTTAATTCAGTCATTCCACCTGAAGCAAATCCCATGGGTTTCATATGATGTGAATCAACCCCACTCAGAGATAACTAAACACATTAAGAAGAGGTAGCTCTGAAGTGGCTCGGACATCTGTTACTGGAGCACACAGGGTAACCTGATCAGCCAATTAACATCTCATCGTGTCCTCTCCTCAGTCTCCTTCTTAGCTGGGTTGCTTTGTCATCGCTTAGTCTGCAAAGAGAGGAACCCAGTTTTCGATTGTTCTTTTTCCCTCCATGAATTCAGCAAATGGTCAAAAGACAAAATCACGTCAGGCTATCAAAGGTACATTCCATACCTCTTTAGCTTCCTAGGGAGTTGCAGAGAGAGGCTGAGGTTCAAGTCTTAGAAACACAGAGGAAGTCATGAGTGTTGAGGTCACTTTCCATCCTCTAGTGAACTGGTTTCACTGTTCTATTGTGGCCTTTGAAACTGACTTAGCAACGTCTCCCCTGTTTTCAGAGACACGGATATTTTATTAGGAAGAAAGCTGGTCTTCTTCAGAGGGAGTCAGCTATTGACTTTAAAGCCTTCTCTCACTCAACGCCTACCTGAGAGTTAAGGTATGGACGATGCCTTTCTTTGGTCCATAGCTCTCTACATGTTTACCACTGAAAAATAAGACATTTGCAAAGAAGAGTTATAAGAGACAGAGGAGAAATTGTGATTGCATTTAATGGCGCGCGCGCACACACACACACACACACACACACAGAGAAAGACTGGTAGCAAATAAGAAACAGACAGACACTTTAGTATTACCTTTCAGAGCTTGTTCAGACTGGGTTAGAATACATGGTTCACTCTTAAGAACCCTCCCCACCTCCCACCAGCACCTCAGGTTCAGCTCAAATCCTGGACGATCACTAGTCCCTGCCACCATACAGCACAAAACTACAGCAATGCTGCTTTGTTGAGGCAGAGAAGGAAAGGCTAGGCCTTCTTTCTCCAGGTGCTGCCGGCAAGTCCATCCCAGAGTGAAAGCAGGAAGTGCAAGAGAGGACTACCACTGCACAAACATGGGCTTTTTATAGCACCTGCCCATCCGTAAACATCAACCAGGATTTTACAGTTGACCAAACAAAATGGCAAATCCTTCACTCTTAAAAGCTGTGGGGAAGCTAGAAAGGGAGACAACAGCAAAGTAGGTAGAGAGACAGTCCTTTCCCTATAAAACATTCACCCTCTACCCACAAACATGTTCTATTTGAAAACCGATACAGAGAAGCTTATGAAATAGAGGTGGCTTCTTTAGGAAAGCCTAAAATACATGTAATTCAGTCTTAGAAAGGTGATGAAATAAGGAATAATCATTTAATTATAGGAGGATTTTTTACTTCTCAAGAAATATGATTCTAAGGAAAGAAAATTTGACTTTTTGAGGTCCCACCTTTTCAAGTAAATACTTTTGTAACCCTAGATCCCCCAGCACAGACTACAAAGCTAAATATAAGAAATAATAAAAACGTTTTTGAGACTACAACGATTACAAATTTAACTGAATGTAAAGCCCAAAGAAAAGGGATCCAAAAGTAAAATGCATTTATGGAAATGGCATTACCTCAAGGAAAATAATCCAGGAAACCGAGACAGGAGGAAAGGTTCCCAGAAGCCAGTAGAGAAGAACCATAGCACTATAAAATCAGAACATGTGAGCTAATTTCTCACTGAGCGCCTGGAGGAATAACCCTACAGACGGTGGTCACACCCTGTGGACCCACCAGCTCAGGGCACCTACCGATACATCTGAGTCGGTCCAGAACTTTATAAGACCGCTGACCCAAACATGCGCTCAGTCATTCAGTCGTGTCCAACTCTTTTGTGACCCCCATGGACTTTAGCCTGCCAGGCTCTTCTGTCCATGGGCTTCTCCAGGCAAGAATACTGCAGTGGGTTGCCATGCCCTCCTCCAGGGGATCTTCCCGACCCAGGGACGGAACCTACATCTCCTGTGCCTCCTGCATTGCAAACATACAAGGGAAGTTAACAGCACATCTGACAGAGGGGGCCACTCCCAGAGGCCCTCAAGCCTGCTGACTAGGGGCTGCCTGTGTTGGGTAATTTTCAAGTCCAGAAAGTGGGTGCACCCAACTGGCTGATGATTTATCACTATTCTAGTTCTTTCAGGTCACACAAGTACGGGACATACTCTGCAGTAAGGAGCCCCGACACTCTGACACAGAGAGTCCTTTCTGCCATGAGGTAGAAAAATCAGATGTTATAAATCATGACTCTATCAAGAAGAAACTGATCCCTCACACTGGGATTCTACATCTAAACACACAGTCTTGGAAACAGGGAAAATTTTAACGGAAGTGTTACTAAACAGCTTTCTACATGGTTCTCTGCAACTTGCTTGCCTTCTGCATTATCTATGTGAACTTTTTCAGACTTCTGTTCTAAGTGATCGCAAATATACAAGCTGGACAATCTGTGATGTGTAAGGAGAGATGTCTTTCTAAAACTTTGCCACTGAACTGCCCACATTAGTGGGGAAAGCTTCTTTGTAAACAGGGTGTTCATATGTATCTTTAATCAAGACAACTTTTTCAATAGGAAACTGAAATCTGGGTAATAAGCTCACAAAATCTATACATACTTAACAAACATCTCAATGTCAGAGTGTTGCTGATGTCTCTCTGGAGTGCGCCATTTGACCCTGTGGCATAAATCACCTCTGAATTTCATAGGAACATAACTGCTTTTCAGACTCTGTAGCAACAGTACCAGAAGCATGTCTAAGTCAACTTCATGACCACCAGAAACCTCCTCCCAGCAGCGGGAAAACTTGCTCCAGCATTCTGGAAAGGAGAAATCTGGGTCTCTAGCAGGTTATCAGGCTTTTATTCTCTTCATACATATTTCCTATGTGGTGAAGGAAAGGATCAGTGACTTGAGGTAACCCTCCCCAGAAGAGAAGTGGTTACTCCCTAAGCAGATTATCAATATATTTGGCTAAGGCCATTTGAAACCTAGTTGTGTAAATCTGAGGTTTATGATGGTTTTGTTTGTTTTTAAGAATTCAGATAGCACAGTGCAAATAAGAGAGGCAGAGGGAGAAAAACTATTAGTGCACCCCATTAGTTTGTTCAGCCAATATGTCTTCAATACCCTGATGTTCACAGGGCTACTTACACCAGCACATGATGGAGAGGCTGGAATACAAAGCAGAGCACATGGTCTGGGATGCATGAGTCACTGCTCTGTCTGATCATTTGGAAAATTACTGCGCTCTGCTGCCAGAACATACCAGCATTCCCCAACGAGGAGAAACGCTGAACCTTCCAAAGCTAAAGTGCTACAGCAGCCTGTTTCTGGGGACAGCTTCTGGCTGTGTTCGTAGGTTGCCTGGTTGGACCTGTAGGAAGAATCTGAACCGTGGACTAGAAACAGCACAAAGAAAATCTGGTTATTCTAGAAGCAGAGAGACATGGGAAACAACCTTGAGATATCACTGAGCTCCACACTTCCCAGCAAATCTGTATTAATTAAAGATGAGAAAAACCTTATTATTGACTTCTCCTTAAAGAATTCAGGAAGGATGTGTTGTATTCTTCAAAACTTCAAAAATAAATTCAACTATTGAATTTACTGTTAAATGCTTTCCCCTTCTTTCCTTTACCTAGATTCCTTTGAAGAAAAATTTATTAAAACCCAAGTCATTTATAGAATGAGATTCTCATACTCATTAAAAGACGCTAAAAATGACTTAACTCTAGTTTTACTAAGGGAACATTATTATCTATTCATTATTTTTCCAGCTTTGGAGATTAAAACAGTTTCTCTAATCCTGTAACATCCTCTTCCTTACAGATACACAGCCTGGACCTGCTTCAACTTTCTTGTCTTTGCAGACACTTCTTTTGAAATGAAAACTAATAGCTTTCTATTTCAAATAAAACAAAGAAAGCAAGCAATGAGAACTCTCAGCACTCGGATTTGGATCACAGGTCTTGAGTCAGCTAGTACAACCTTATTACACTTCAGACAAAAGCAAAAGACCTTTGATAAGATTCTAGAGTATGTTTGACAGGGGTAGCAGGGAGGGACAGGGAAGGAAGCAATGATAAAATCCTTAAAATTCTCAAAAATTATAAATGCCATTAAGCTTTACTATAAAGTCCCTCAAATTAATGTGCTCCTAATATTAGCATTAAATGAGGCTGATGTATTGAGTAGAACTATTTGCATAATGATGACAAAAATCAAAGTTTTAGGGAAGCAAAATTGACTCATTTGAAACTTAAATTCTAATTCCTGAGCAGTTTCTGACTAATGAACCTGAACAAGTCAGAACTGTCCTGGCCCTCTTCTTCAACAGTGGAAAACGGATTATGTAAAATGTTGGGGGAAATTTATAACATATACCTATGGTTTCTTAAACTTTCCAAGGGAGGGGTTCATATATCCTGCAGTAGTCCTAAGAGCTTAGTCTGAAGTTGCAGGCTGCGAGCACAAAGTTTTTTGGAAATTTCCCATTTTCTCTTTAATTTTTATATGTACTTCCAACTAGATTGTTGTTGTTTAGTTGCTAAGCTGTGTCTGACTCTTTTGTGACCCCATGGACTATAGTCCGCCAGGCTTCTCTGTCCATGGGATTTCCCTTGCCAGTATTCAGGAGTGGGTTGCCATTTCCTTCTCCAGGGGATCTTCCCGACCCAGGGATTGAACCCATGGTCTCCTGTGTTTCCTGCATTGGCAGGCAGATTCTTTACCACTATGCCACCTGGGAAGAGCATTTCCAATTATATGCTGTAAAATATTCATCTCTCTTTAAAAATATACATGCTGTAAATTACTGGCTAATTAAAATCACGGCACCCCCATTTAAGCTACCAGTTAAGATGCTGTACTAAAAAGACACCAAATACAGTTATTAAACAAAATATTTATCTCTCATGTAAGGGTCTGGAGGCAAAAGCTTGTCAAGAGCATATCAGCAGTACTGCCCCATAAGCACATTTGGGGACCAGCCTCCTTCCATCTTGTTGCTCTCTATCCCTTAAGGCATCATCCTTATCTTATCAGTTAAAACCGTGTGTGTGATAGTCACTCATTCATGTCCAACTCTTTGTGACCCTATGGACTGTAGCCTGTCAGGCTTTTTAGTCCATGGAATTCTCCAGGCAAGAACACTGGAGTGTGTTGCCATTCCCTTCTCCCATCAAATCTATGTTTTAGAAAGGGCAAAGAAAAGTGAAGATGAATACAATTTCCACTCACTTTTCATTGGTGTGACCTAGTCATATGGCTGCAGGAGATATGGAGCGTGAAAAAACACAGAGTCTAACTGGATGGCCAAGTGGCTGGCAAAAATTAAAAGTGATGCTACAGAAATACATACCATATCTGTCTTAGAAATTTATGTACCTACCAACTGCAATATTCCTCTAGGGATGCCTTAAAGATGTGTGGTATATAAGAAATGGGTCTGTAACTGTTTCATGTAAAGAGCCAGGTAATAAATATTATGGGCTTCCCAGGTGGTTCATTCGTAAAGAATCCACCTGCCAAGCAGGAGACGTGGGTTCGATCCCTGGGTCGGGAAGATCCTTTGGACAAGGAAATGGCAACCTACTCCAGTATTCTTGCCTGGGAAACTCCATGGGCAGAGGAGCCTGGTAGGCTGTAGTTTATGGGGTTGCAAAAAGAGTCAGACACAACTTAGCAGCTAAACAACAAGTAAATATGATGGGCTTCCCGGGTACATGCTCTCTGCTGCGACTACTTAACTCTGCTGCTGTATTGCAGAAGCAGCCTTGGACTGTATGACTGTATGTAAGTGAAAGAACATGACTAGTTTTAGTCATCTGTTACAACATAACAAATTACTATAACATTAGAAGTTTAAATCTACATGCCTTTATTATCTCACATTACCATGGATCAGGACCAGAGTCAGGGTCCTTCATCTAGGCTCTCACAAGGCTGCAATCACAGTCAACTGGAGTATGCTCTCATCCGGAGGCTTGACTGGGAAAGAATCTACTTCCAACCCACTCCAGCTGTGAGAGGACTTATTTCCTTGTGGCTGTAAGCCTGAGGGCTTAGGGCCTCAGCCTCCTGGTGCCTGCTGGCTGCCCTCAGCACCTAGAGGTCACCTGCAGTTCCGTGCCGTGCGGTTCTGCCCAGAGCCCCTCTTACAATATGGCAGCCGGTTTCTTCAAAGGCAGGAAGGGAGAAAGTCTCTAAATGAGTTTGGTATCATGACAATTTTATGTAACATAACAGTCACAGGAGTGACATCCCATTACCTTTGTCATATTTTATTGGCTAGAAGCAGGTTAATACGTGCTGCCCACACGCAAGGGGACAGGATCAGACCTAGGTATAAATATCAAAAGACAGGGATGACTGAGAGTTTGTCCACCAGAGCTGTGTTCCAATAAAACTTTATAAAAACAAGTGGTGAGCTGTATTAGGCTCACAAGGCATAGTTTACAGACAACTGGTATAATAAATAAGGTGTAGAAGTCATTGTTTAAGGTAAGAAGAGGTAAGAATTCGTTGAACAGAGTTAGAGAGGAAGAATCCTCAGAGCTAGGAGAGCTATGTAGAAAGATGGTGCTATCCCATAACACACCTATTACCTTGTTAATAAAAAAAATTAAGAATGGGACAGATGGACATTATGCTTAAATCTAGTTATCATAAGATAGAGTTGTTATTAGAACACTAATTAAATTCAGAAGGAGTTTCATAGTAAGCTTTCTCCAGGTTTACTTTAATTCACACCTTACATGGGATAATTTCAACAGAAAGCCTAGTCATTTTCCTAGTGATTATG